TATGGATGCAGTAGCTCAAAAAAGGGAACAAATCTTTACAACAAGGATCATTCCCACCCCCTCCATACACAGAGTAGACAGGGATGGGCAACTTGGACATTGGCTACCCAAAGTAGGGCGGCTTCAAAGGCAAGAAGTGACTGACTTACAAGCTTTCAAGAAGGAGCCTAGATCCAGAGGGCACGGAGGAAGGCAGAATCTCCACTGAGTAGTATCCAATCTGCCTGGGTGGAGCTGATGAAAGGAGATGCGGATTGGTCTCTTGTGACACAATAGTGAATAATCGCTATCAGGACTGATTGTAAGGGTTGGAAATGTAAAGGTAGATGTTTTGTAGCAAAAGAAGGGGAGTGATAGACTGCAACCTAGGAGCGGAGGTCCCTGGGACCATGAAGGGAGAAGAGAGGGTGGTGGGACCCTACCCAGAGAAGCAGTGACACCAGAGATGGAGGCAGAGACGATGACGTGGAGAGATGGAGCAGCTGGGGACTTTAGACCCAGAAAGGAAGAGGGGCTGTGTGCTGATGACCAGGGGGCAGGCTTGTATGGTATACCCTTTGGTTGGTTGATTATACATGGTGGGGATTATAACCATGGCAATGCAACGATATACGATAGGATGAATGTAAAACTAAGGTTCTCCCTTGTAAACGATCACATAATTCAAAATTAAAACATTAAAAAAAAAAAAAAAATGAGGTTGATTAAAAGGGGAAGTGGCAGGAAGCCCTATTTCTCCTTGAGGGTGTTCCCAGGAGGGAGCTGAGTGTACTACAGGATGTAGAGCCCTTTCACCTGGACTCACTTCCATTCGCTGCCGTGGTTGACAGACGCCATGGAGTGTGACAGGGCTGGGTTGGGCAACAGGTAAAGCACATACCAAGTTACCAGGCTAAATGGATGCACAGCGGGCCAACCATAAAAGATCCTGATGATCCGGCTGAAATCTGCCTAAGTGAAGATGAAGCAGCAGCACCAAGCACATGGTTGTTGAGTGAGCGTGTGAATGTCTGGAGGGAGTGCTGGGCACTGAAATAGGCTCTGAAGACACAGGGGAACCCTCCCCAACGATGGCTCATGGGACAGCAGGGAGCCTGGAGCAAGGAGCAGGTCCAAAGTGCCGTGGAGGGGATATCCAGGTGCCGGGCAGCCCAGACAAGGGGTACTTAGCCCCTCCCTAAAGATCCTAAAGTGGGTCTCGGGGAGCTGCCATGGGCAGAGAACACCTAAAGGCTCAATGTCCTGTCACTGGGACTATGAGGAGAGTGAGACGGAGCGGCAGCAGGTGCAGAAGAGTAAGAGAATGAAGAGGAAGAAGGACAATTTCGCATCCCTTCCTTCCAGCAGTGCTGAAGAGCAGAAATCTTACTCGCTGCAGGGAAAGGCCTTGGACTGTTGACTCCAGTCTCAAACCTTGTACATAACATCCAACAGTTTTTCTTCTCTTTTCCAGGTCTCCCCGTATTTTCCCTGTTCCCCAGAGGGGTAGCCCTTGGGATGTGTTATAGACGGAGCATGCCTAAGAACCCAGGTGCTGGCACACCTGTGTGGAGGAACACACCTACCAAAGGCAACGTACACCTTAAAGTGGAACGTTCTTAAGACACCACGTGACAGAACTTTAAGTGCGTTTTCCATGACAACCACACCAATTACATCTGGATGGGGGGGGGGGTCCTTTTCCTAATCCAAGGAGTATTAGGTTCCGATGAGCTGAACAAACTGCAGCAGAGAAATGTGCCTACGTTGGATGAAATGACTTTAGTCCTAATAGAGAGTGTCCCCTTGGGTTTACATGTGAATCCACTCTAAATTGTCTCCCAAGTTTATATTTACTCATCCCTCACTTTTGCAAATGTGGGAATTCAGTCTCTACCTATCCACATGAACGAGTTTGGAGCAAGTTGGAATGGACTTTGGAGTAAATCACCCAAGGTGCAGATGAACAATAAAAAAAAATAATGACGTGCAAGGAAATCCATCAAGGAAAGAAACATTCACCTGAGCTGAGTACAATTCTCGTTGATCCCAACTTCCAAAAGGCATCCAGATAGCGCGTTTTTGCCAAATAAAATGGGTGTGAGAGTTGCTGACGTACACAAGCCCCTTCCAGCTACAAAAAAAACACACACAAAAAAACTCTCCTTACCATTTTTGCTAAATAAGAGTAAACATTTGCTTCAAAGTTTCTCTTGAAATATAAGAGAGGAAACATTCGAGATAGTCTCCAATTTTCAGAAACTGAGATAGTTACTCTATAATCATTTCGAGACAGAACACAGACCAACACTCCCTCTTTCAGGCTGCTGCGGCTGTGGTTAAGTGCCACAGAGTCGGTTCCAGCTCATAGAGACCCTGTATAGGATTTCCAAGGAACAGCTGATGGGTTTGAACCACCGACCTTGAGGTCCAGCGCATTATCCTGCAGTGCCACACCGGGACTCCCTGTTTGAGGATATCAGTGTTTTATTCTGGGCACAGAACCGAACACCTCTGGGAGATGCAGAAAGGAGCCCTGGTGGCACAGAGGTTAAGTGCTAGGCGGCCAACCCAAAGATTGGTGGTTCTAACCCAGCAGTCCCTCCGTGGGAGGCTGTGGGAGTCACCTTCCACAAAGACGACAGGAGTTCTACTCGGGGCTGTGGACTCGTTATGAAGCAGAATCAACTTGACAGCAGCGGGTTTGGCCTTGGGCTGTTGTTGTTGTTGTTGTTAAGTGCCATCGAGTCGGTTCCGACCCATAACGACCCTGTACAGGGTTTCCGAGGGTGTAAATCTTTACGGGAGTAGAAAGCCTCATCTTTCTCCCGCAGAGCAGCTGGTAGTTTTGAACCGCTGACCTTAAGGTCCGCAGCCCGATTCGTAACCACTACGCTACGATGTGAGTAATTATCACTAACTCCAAGAGTGTCTATAATCGGGGTGCTGGTTGCCCACCACGACTAATAACCCAAAGTATTTTAAAGGATATAAGTGCTACCAACTAAAATGCCATGAATAAGTTTCAGATGCATAAAGAGAAAATTCAACTCTTGTATAATGTTTTTGTTCCCGGAAACACTTCTCTGGAAGTGGATGTCATTGCTGTGGTGATATAATTACCATGAAAGTTCACTGATCTAAAACAAAAAAAGATTTTTTATCATTTGGAATGAAACTATTCTCACATCTCCAATCAGCCCCTTTTGGGATTGTAGGAAACGAGACGGGAGATAAAGAAATCCTACATTTAAACCTTTAACAAACCAGCAGCACTTTGGAAACAAACAAGGTTAACATTCCTTATTCCCCTCCCCCCCCCAAAAATTTTTTTTTTTAACTTCTTGTTGTTAAGTGCCATCAAGTCAGTTCCTACCCATAGCAACCCTGTATAGGTTTCCAAGGAGCAGCTGATGAGCTTGAACTGCCCACCTTGCAGTTCAAACGACTTTGCAGTCTGGTGCATTAACCCACAGCACCACATCAGGACTTGAACTTGTAGAAGCATGAAAAACAACCACCCCGACTTCGGGCCCTCAAGCAAACCAACAGGGCTTTAAAGTAATAGATTACCTGATGAGATTCAAAACATGGCAAGACTTACACTTGTGCTCTACCAGGAGACTTGTCTTAAGCACCAAACACGCTTACCTGTTCTCCAGAGGTGTAACGTGGTGACATAATTCATCCTGCTGGCGTGGAGTGCTCGGAGAGGTTTGCCAAGTTGGTACCCTAGGCAGACACAGCACATGACATCAGCAGCTTGCCAATAGAGGAGGGCTTGTCTTGTCCAAGAAGAGAGAAGATGAGTCCCAGTGAACGCCAACACAGAGCCAAAGCTTGTACAGGTGCCTTTTAAGAAGGATGTCACCTTTATTCAATTCTCAGTATTGTTCCAGAGACGAGGAGACTCAGGGGATTTGTCAAATACATTTTTTTTTTTTAATAAAATTTGACAAACTCAGAAGGCAGGCAGGAGAGGCAGTGTTGGTTCTCATGCCAGGGGGACATTTGCCACTGGGCAGGTAGGTTAAGGCTGCTGATGAGAGGACCTCAGAAAGACACTGAATCTCAGCACTTTCCTGTGGAGCCATCGCCTAAAAACCAATCAGGCTCCAAGTCTGCTTCTCTAGGTCTCATCCCACCTGTGTCTCCTAGACATCCACTTTGCTGCTTCTAACTTTTAAAGATGAAAAGGCACACACGTACAAAAAAGATGAAAGGCACACATGGGGATACCAGGATAGACATCACCTAGATCCAACGGCTGCCAGGAGTGTTTCTCTTAGTAGTAAATCACAAGTGTATGTACGAGGGCTTCCAACAACTTTTAAGGCCTTTCCCCCTTTCGGGACAGAACTGTTTGAAATAAGTTGTTGGTACCACGACACTTTATCTCTAAAAAGCTTCAACACACATCTCCCAACATTAATATAATTCAGGACATTTTCCAATGTTTCTCTTAGAAAATGATTAATGAAGACTGTCTGCTACACACTCACACTCCTTTGTATGTCCCCAAAATCTGGGTTTGAGAGCTGTTTGTACAAACCAGAATCCAACATCTGCGCACTGTTTTTGTGTTTCCAACTCTCTCCTCACAGTCCCTGGTACATCAGCCTTCCTGTGGTAGCCATCAGCGTCCGGCCCACACTCACCACCACCCAAGCTCACACCACTTCCTTGACCTCACTGCACGGTTCCCAACATGCATGACGTGCTTGTCAAGGTCATCTCTGCACACCACCCCAATCTTTGAGAGGAGGGAGAGCACAAAGGGCAAGAACCCTGACCTGCTCCTGGTGGAACCCCCGCACAACCAAGAACAGTCCTGCACAGATGAGAAGCTCAGCGCAGTTGTTTTGGATCAACAGTTCAGTGGAATGAATGAAGTCTCCAAGCCAGCGCTAACTTACTTATCACCGTGAGCTTCCTCTACTGCTCCTTGTGAATGGAAGCCAGCCCTGTACCACAGACAAGGGCAGAGAGATGGCACCCAGATGTATGTACCAGCTGTTTCACTGACTCAACCAGTCTGCTCATGACCACTTTATTCTCTCCTGACAAGAGCTCCAACACTATCACCATTTTCACAGACTCTCGACTGTGCTTCGTGGAAATCCAGGAGCCTGGTTTTAAAGCCAACAATAAACTCCCCAAACACCACATTCATGGTGGTGGTGGTGGTTACGTGCCATGGAGTCGGTTCCGACTCATAGCGACCCTGTACAGGGTTACCGAGGCTGTAAATCTTTATGGGAGCAGAAAGCCTCATCTTTCTCCCGCAGAACAGCTGGTAGTTTTGAACTGCTGACCCTGAGGTTAGCAGCCCGATTCGTAACCCCTATGCTACCAGAACTCCTTCCATCTATAACTGTTGTTGTGTGCCTTGGAGTCGGTTCCAACTCATAGCAACCCTGTACAGGGTGTCCGAGGTTGTTAATCTTTACGGGAGCAGCAAGCCTCATCTTTCTCACGTGAAACATCTGGTAGTTTCAAACTGTTGACCGTGAGGTTCGCAGCCTGAATCGTAACCACTACGCTTCAGAGCGCCATCTATAATAACCATGGATTATTCACCTACTACATTTAACTACTGAAGAAAGTCATACAAATGGACAGTTACTTCAGAATAGAAAAAGGTTCCTTACTGGTTAATTATATTTTTATAATGACAAGTTTTAGCATCTTATGTTCTTGTTAGGTGTGGTGGACTTGGTTCCAATTCACAGTGACCCTCACGTGCAAAGGGATAAAGCCCAGTCCTGCGCCATCCTCACAGCCACTGCTATGTCTCAGCTCACTGCTGCAACTACTGCGTCAATCCATCGCATTGAGAGTCTGCCTCTTTTTTTGGTGACCCTATACTGTCCCAGGAGTCCTGGTGTGGCGCTGTAGAATCAGCACTGGCCTGCGAACCACAAGGTTGGCAGTTCAAACCCACCAGCTGCTCCTATGAAAGCTTAACCACGGTATGCTATGGGTCAGAACCAACTCGACAACACTTAACAACAAGTATTTTGCCAGGCATGATATCCTTTTCCAAGAACTCGTCCCTCCTGATATAATATTCTTATGCACAGGTAGTCCCCAACATAACAACACACTCTAGTTACAACAAACTCAACTGCATTCCTGACCCTGGCGTTTCCCTTCCATACAATGTGACAGCATGGACCTTGCTGATGTCGCCACTGTCAGGTGTCCACCAGCAGAGGTTTATATGTAACGTTTCCAACCATCAAAAACAAACGGAGAACTACAAGAACAAGCAAGTTGCTTGCCCAAGAGATATCAAGGCAAGTGGTCGGGTCCCCTCAAGGCAAACCTCCTTCCAAGACTAAGACTCAATGGGAATACACGCTCTGATTGGTGACCACGCTCATCACCGATAAGGGAAGTGAAGGGAAAACAGCAATGAAGCAGTGAGCTAAGCCCTACAATGTTCAATAGACTTCTGTGAACCCGGGTGGAGACCTGGTTGGCCAGCAGGGTAGCAAGACCTGGGGGCTCTTGGGCCCAGAGTTAGTGACATAGCCACAGAGGACTAGAGTGGAGAGTGAAGC